CGGCGCGAGGTGACGTGGTAAAACTGCCAACCAGGCGCGTCCGGGACAAAGCCAAGAAAGACACAAGGAACAGCGCGAGAGGAGAGCTTGTCCGCGGACGTATCGCGAACAAAAGCTCGGGATCCCCAGACCCGAAAACGCGACGCATCGCCAACCTCTCCCGTCCAACGCAGTGTCGGGGAAGTCTCCGGCAAGGAGACACGGGGCCAAAGGTTGAGCTGATGCGCAGCGTATCGGACCGCAAACGGCCACAGAAAGTGGGGAGCAGCCGCATGGATCAGGGAGCCACGAGCGACCTCCATGACCAAGCCAATGCGGCGCTCAGCAACCCCGTTCTGCTGTGGAGAGGCCAGAAGCGTGAACGATTGTTCAATGCCGTGCTCGGCACAGTAGGCTGCCAGGAGGTCGGAGGAGAACTCACCATCTCTGTCAGAGTGCAAACGCAGGACAGGAAAGTCCGAGCGGAAACGCTCGCTGAGCTGGAGACGAGCTCTGCGGATCCAAGGGATCAAGACATCAGGGACCTCACCCTTGGTGCGCAAGGGGAAGACCGTGGTGTAGCGCGAGTAGTCGTCAACAACAATCAGGAAGTACCTCTCCTGACCCTGTCCACGGACGCGGGCTGGGCCCCACACGTCCAGGTGGAGCGTCTGCAAGGGAGCAGTCGTGGGGGGAAAGGAGGAGGAGTGAGGAGCGGCGCGCTGCCGCCCCTTGACACAGGGAAGACAGGGAGGAGCAGGCGAGGGTGGGAGGGGAGGGAGAACCCTGGGAAGACCAGAAACAAGGTACCGTTTGTGCATGGCACGAAGGCGCTGCACAGACGGGTGACCAAGTCGGTGGTGCCAAAGGACGGTCTCGTGTGCCAGAGAGCGACACGAGCAGGGGGCCGACAGCTGACCTGACGCAGACGGTGACGCAGCAACCTGAGGGGACTCAGTGGTCAGTGTGTACAGGTCCGACCCCGGCTGCCGAGTGAAGGTAGCCAGGTGACGGCCCGTCCGCGCACACGTGCAGTGTGTCACGCGCTCGTAGGCAGGGGTGAACTGGTGAACACCCGCGTCCTGGAGCGCACAACTCGCCACCAAGTTCGTAGAGAACGAGGGGAGGTGGAGACCTGACAGTGTGCCCGACGGGACCGCAGGACAGGGAAGAACAGTGGAGGAGGTCGCAATGACCGGACCCCCAGAGGGGTCAGCAAGGGAGACAGCAACTGGCCGAGCAAGTGGCTCAAGGGCAGTGCGGTCACGAAAGAAACAGCGAGAAGCACCTGAGTCCAGGGTGAAGGTGTGCAGTGCCTCAGTCGACTCAGTACCAGGGGGCGCAGACTCACTAGCACCTAGAGTAGCAGCCTCACCAGCACCTGGGGTAGCAGACACGTGAGTACCGGGAGTGGTAGCCTCACCAGCACCTAGGGCAACAGACGTACTAGCACCTAGAGCGGCAGCCTCACTTACAGGACACGGCAGCTGCACCTGTCCACTACCAGAAGCTCCCGAACGATGCACTCCAGAGCGACTACCACTACGGCCACCCCGACAGCCCCAACTAGCGTACCACTCACGCGCACGAAGCTGCTGGGGCGAAAGAGGACACGGCAGCTGCACCTGTCCACTACCAGAAGCTCCCGACCGACCCACTCCAGAGCGACTACCACTACGGCCACCCCGACAGCCCCAACTAGCGTACCACTCACGCGCACGAAGCTGCTGGGGCGTGAGGGACTCACGCGCACGGCCCTGGAGCTGCATCTGGCCACGCCAGGAGCAGCAGTAGTAGCAGTAGCGGCAGTAACAGCAGTAACAGCAGGAGCAGTGGCAGTGGGAGTAGAAAAGGCAGTAGCAGCAGTAGCAGCGGTAGCAGTGCTGGGCAATGCTCACCAGTGGTCGGCGCGGCAGGCGCAAGACGGTGGCGACAGCGGGGCCGCTACAACTGCAGGGCTGGGCCGGGCCGCAGCAGGGAGCTCCGCGGCAGCTGCTGCAGGGCGAGGCCGGGCCGCGACGGCAGCTGCTCCAGGTGCCAGGGGCGGCTGCTGCAGTGGCGGCTGCTCCAGGGGCCAGGGGCGGCTGCTGCAGGTGCGGGCTGCTCCAGGGGCGGCTGCTGCAGGTGCGGGCTGCTCCGGAGGCGGCTGCTGCAGGTGCGTGCTGCTCCAGAGGGGGCTGCTGCAGTGGCGGGCGGCTCCAGGGGCGGCTGCTGCAGTGGCGAGCGGCTCCAGGGGCTGCTGCTGCAGTGGCGGGCGGCTCCAGGGGCTGCTGCTGCAGTGGCGGGCGGCTCCAGGGGCTGCTGCTGCAGTGGCGGCTGCTCCAGGGGCGAGAGGCGGATTAGGTCAGGGCGACGCGGCGAGAAGGGCGACGCGGCGGGCAGGTGGCGACGCCGCGGGCAGGGCGACGCGGCGGGCAGGTGGCGACGCCGCGGGCAGGGCGACGCGGCGGGCAGGTGGCGACGCCGCGAGTAGGGCGACGCCGCTAGCAGGTGGCGACGCCGCGGGTAGGCGACGACGCCGCGGGCAGGCGACGACGCCGCGGGCAGGCGCCGACGCCGCGGGCAGGGGACGACGCCGCGGGCAGGCGACGACGCCGCGGGCAGGCGACGACGCCGCGGGCAGGCGACGACGCCGCGGACAGGGGCTACGTCGCGGGCAGGCAACGACGCCGCGGGGAGGCGGCGACGCCACGGGCAGGGCGACGCGGCGGGCGGCGAGAGCCTGCAGGGGCGGCGCGCGGTCGTGCAGAGGCTGCGCGCGGGCCTGACGGGTGTGCAGGGGCGGCTCTCGGGCCTGACGGGCCTGCAGCGGCAGCTCGGGTGCCTGATGGACCTGCAGGGGCGGCTCGAGAGCGCACGAGGGCGCACGAGGGCGTACGAGGGCGCACGAGGGCGCACGAAGGCGCACTAGCAGAGAAAGGCGCACGAGGGCGCACGTAAGGTAGAGCGCACGAGGGCGCACGTAAGGTAGGGCGCACGAGGGCGCACGTAAGGTAGGGCGCACGAGGGCGCTTCTAGCGGAATAGTGGGCCCATTGTAGAAAGCGGTCCTAGGTAGCAACCTAGGCTCTGATACCATGTCAGAATCTAGAATAGAACGAGAATGAATGAACTAGCAGGAAGGTGGGTACAAGTATGAAACCCTAAGTTTGTGTACCCTCTAAGGCTAAACCCACTATAGCCTACACAATATAAACATACAATGTTTGACATACTGGCCTTGTGTCGAGACTATATATAGCCTTGCGTTGTACCAAGGTGGAGTGAATCAATTCGTATTCTCATTTTAGAACTTGATCATCGATCCCCACAAGAGGGTGCGATCCGAGAGCTTCTCCGCAGAGGAATCGCCGACATGCGCAAGGCAGCACCAAACAAAAAACCATGCCGCGAGACCAAGGGACCCTGTCCAAACCCTGGTCATAGTGTTTAGGACGAAAAACATCTGAGTGGGGTTCTCTGGTGAATGTGGCAAGAACTGCCCCGGTGGAAGCATCCGTACAGATCGCAATCCTCTCATGCACAGGAAAAGTGATTGTGATCCCAAGGTTTGTGAAGGTATCCAACACCCACCAAGTTCCGAGAGAACGAGGGGCTGTAGAGACCAGCGCAAAAACCAAAGGGGACAGCCAGGCACGCGAGGGTCATGGAACTGCGAGCAACAGTTGGTCCGAAAGTAGGATCAATCAGGGCAACTGGGACTGGAGTAGGAAGATGTGTGACAGTGGTGTGGTGGCGCACAGTGACGCGTTAATAGTCACCACAGCTTGACTAGTAACTACACAAGCAGATACGCTAGAACCACAAGCACTTACATCAGCAATAGGCGAAGGTCCTAGACTGGGTACACGCAAGCCAAAAGATTTATTTGTGACAAAGTAGACAGCATCCATAGACATATCAAACACACGGCAACCACTATAAGACAGACTAGGCCAGATCAGGGGAGTCGAGTCAGGACCATGCCTAGCACCGAGGTTGGGAAATGTCGTGGCGTAGGACCGGGCCGCGGGTTGCCAGCCGAGTTGGGTGGTTTGGGCGCGGTGGTCGTGATGGCGGTAATAGTGTCAAGGTGAATGTTGCGAGAGGGTAACGGAATATTGTTCGGGTGCTTGGCAGAACAGTGTTGTACGCGGTATGGAGTGTGACGCAAAGAATGGAAACGTGTTTTCTTGGATGCGGAAAAATGAAATGTAAAACTACCGTACATAAGGGAAAATGTGCCCAACTAAAAACAATAGTAAATCTAGGGTATGCTGCAAATGGGTATTACATAGTATTTCCATTGTCCAATCGTCGTCGTTTCCAGTCCCTCCCTCGTCCGCTCTCGACCTGCCCCTCGAACCCAGGAGGCAACACCTCCCCTTCGTGTGGCTCTTCCGCACCTTCATGAGAGTTTTCCTGCTGCCTGCCTGCGTACCTCGGTCCACCGTAACGGGAATAGCCACCCCGGTAACTCCCATGTCCATGCCCATGGCCATGTCCATGCGCATGCACATGCCTATGCCTATGCCCATGCCCATGGCCCTGCCGGTGCCCACCTCTGCGCGTGCTCTCATGGCGGTGTGACCATGCACTCCTCTCCTCCCCTACCTCCTCACCCCTCCGCCCATCTGACAGCCCCTGCGCCCCACTACCCCCTGTGCCCTGCTCCCACCTGTCACCCGCCGCGCCACTGCTGCAACCAGCAGCCCCTCCGCCCTCCTCCCCTCTCCTGCCTCCATAGCCAAAATTATTTCGAGGAGGAGGGAATCGGCGAGGAGAATGGTGGCGGGGAGGGTGTCGTCGGGGAGGGGAGGAACGGTGGTGGGCATTGGAGGCGAGGGAGGGGAGGAGGGTGGGCGCGAAGGAGTCAGAGGAGAGGAAGCATCCGCGCTGCTTTGCATCGTCAATAAGCGCTGCCCACGCCGGCGAGCGCTGCAACGATGCTGCGTTGCCAAGAATCTGCACAGCACATGGAGCACAGGGCGGGGTAGGGAGTGCTGAAGGATATTAGGGGAAGAGCACCAGCCAATGCACCCTTCAATGACAATGGGGCGTGCAGGTGGAGCAGGAGGTAGGGTGAGGGTAGGCTGTGACTGCACAGCGGGAAACGGAAACAAGAAGGCGAGGCTCAGGCAGAGGTGGGCTGACCCAGAGGGAGCGCTTGGCGCGCGTGATGGCGACGTTCATGCGGCGCACGTCGGCCACGAAGCCCAGCCCGCGCGTGGAGGCGCGCACGCACGACAGGATGATGGCGTCGCGCTCCTGCCCCTGGAAGGCGTCCACCGTGTTCACATACAGCGCCGCCCCGCCCGCTGCCACCGCTGCCACTGACGCGCGTGGGGCCGCGGCAGCAGCAGGGGCACAAGGGGGTGGTGGTGTGGCAAGGAGGCCGGGATGCCACTCCTGGCTCGCAGCAGGGCCTGGGTCTGGTGCTCCCTGCCCCTGCTGCTGCTGCTGCTGCTGCTGCTCGTGCTGCTGTGCTTGGATGGCAGCAGCATTCCCTGCCGCTTGCTCCACACCAGTGGCAGGGGCGGCAGGCAGGGGCAGGGGGGGCAGGGGGGCGGAGCGGGCAAGCTGGTCGAAGGAGCGGCGCAGCAGCTTGAGCTGCTGGCGGTACGGCGTCACCACCCCCACTGGCACTGGCCCTGTGGCGCCTGCTGCTGCACTCACCTCCTGCAGCCGCTGCCAGGGGGGCAGAGGCGAAGGCACATGGGGAAAGGGGACAGATGGAAAAAGAGCGGATGGGTGGGGTGCTATGAGGAGCAAATGGACACTGGCGCAGTTGAAAGGTGTGAGATGTGTGTACTTGGCAGTGGCACGCAGAGGTGCATGAGGCATGGTGCAGAGGTGCATGAGGCATTAGATGGAAAAAAGGTGTATGGGGAATGAAGGTGGACGGAAAAAAGGGTGGATGGGTGGGCGGCAGTGAGGAGCAATCAAACGATGGCGTGAGTGGAACTTGGGGGGTATGAACTTCGTATACTTGCAGTGCGGGGCAGAGGGGCGGAACTTGAAAGGAGCCGTGAGCACACCTGGAAGAGCGCGACAGCCAGCGCGGCCTCGGTGGTGTTCTGGTACGACACGGAGCGCTCGCCGTGCGACTCGCGGCCGGCGCTGACGTCGAAGAAGAGCAGCGGGCGCAGCAGCGGGTCGGCGTGGTACGGCTCGTCCGCCAGCGCCGTGACGGCGGGCGCGTCGGTGAGGCGGTCGCTGTAGAAGTAGCGGCTGGGGAAGGCGCGGATGGCCGGGTGCATGCGGTACTGCTCCGTCAGCAGCAGTGTTGGACAGCCCGCTCGTTGGAAGCGCTCCAGCAGCGAGCGACTGGTGGCAGGCATGGGTTGGCATGGGCAGGCATGGGCAGGCATGGAGAGGGAACCCTTGAGAAGGCATGGGCCGGAGTGGGTGAAGGGACAAGTAATGTATGAATCTAAATGCAGATAGCAAAGCCAAACATGGAAGATCATTGATAGACGCAGGTAATGCAGGGATGAGGCCCACCTGTAATCGAGGGAGGAGGCGAGGCGGCTTATGACGGTGGCGGGCAGCTGCTGCGGGTCGCCCACGAGCACACAGCGCTGGCAGCGCAGCGTGAGAGGGGGCAGCGCCGCCATCTCACTGGCCTGCGCCGCCTCGTCAAACACACACATGTCAAACCCGTGCGCCAGCCGCGCGAATATGCTGCTCCCAGGGTGGGGGAGAGGGAGAAAGAGTGTGTGGAGGAAAGAAAGTTTGTGTCAGGCAGGAAAGGTCAGGTGAAACACCTATGCGGTGAGAAATGGCACCACATTCTCGTGATTACTGCTCAGCTTGCCTTCCTGAGGCTTGCCCTCCACTTCAAAGAGGAGGCTCACCGGCGGCCGCTGCTGCTGGCGGTGGTGAAGACCACCTCGGCCTCCTCCGCAAAGCTCGCCTCCAGCTGTGCCCTCGCCGCCTCCACCGTCACCTCGCCCCGCCTCGCTCCCAGCACGATTAGCAGCCGCCCCACCTCCACCCCCACCTGCTCCCTCTCCTCCACCGCTGCCTGCGAAGTGGTCACCCCGGCGTGGTGAGCGCATGATGGGGCATAGGTAGGTGAGACGGGTGTTGGGAGGAAGATGGAGAAAGTAACATCATAAGACGCTTAATGAGAAGAGGGAGGGAGCCCCTTTTGTCTGTTGAAGCAAGGGGGTTGTGGAGGAAACGATAGTCTTGCACACATTGAAGCACATTCTTGCGTGAGGAAACATGTGATGGGTGAGACAAGAGCAGAGCATCCTAGAAGCAAGCAATGCTGCACACTCACTGCCAACCGCTGCACCACGGCATCTCTCTCCCGCTCCCGCTGCACCAACACCTCTGGATCCATCCCCACCGCACTGCCCCCCTCCCCACCCCCCCCTCCCCCCGCCTCCACCAGCTCGCGGATCTGGCGCTGCAGCACGCTGACGTGGCATGCCAGCTGGCCCTCCTTGTGGCGCAGCGCTGCCACGTGGTGGGCGGCCTCCTCTGCCGGCATCTGCAGCAGCTGCTGCGACCGCCGCTCCACCGATACCGCCTGGCCCAGGGGCGTGCATGGGCGGGTGGGGTGGGTGGTGGGGAGAAAGAGGAAAGGGCATGAGAGGAGGCGAGGAAAGGGCTGAATAAATTGCAGAGCCACACTGAAAAAGGAGGGTGGGGGTGGGTGGGTGGGTGGTGGGGAGAAAAAGGAAAGGGCGGGAGAGGAGGCGAGGGTGGCAAGGGCTGCAAAGCTAGATAAAAGGACATAGGAAAGGGCATGAGAGAAGGCGAGGGAATGTATTGCAGAGCCACACTGAATCACAAGCACCAGTATATGAAATCTGGGCTTGCATGTCACGAGCTATTCTGAAGCTCTTCTCGTAAACAACAGCCACAGCCAACATGCCCCCCGACCCTCCCCTCCTCCCCCCCCTCAATACCTGAGCGGCGGGGGTGGCGGCCTCGGCACCAACGCGCGCCACATCAGGGCGATAGGTGCGCATCTCGCCGTCGAGGAAGCCCTTGGAGAGCACACGCGACAGCAGCTCGTCCACCGCGGCGTTGGACGGCGCACACACCAGCATGCGCGGCTTGCGTGCCACCCGCACCTGCCGCCGCGGCGCCAGCCGATCCATGCTCTCCAGCAGATCCTCTATGCTGCCCCCTCCCGAACCTACGACCTCCGCCGAACCTACACCTTCCGAGCCGGCACCTGCCGACGCTGAGTCCTCGGGTACGAGAGTGGCGGAGGCGGCGGGGGCGAGTTTGGCGAGGAGCGAGTGGTAGTAGCGCTGGTAGTGCACGAGGTGGATGGCGTTCAGCATGCCCCACACCGTGTGCGTCTTGCCCGTCCCCGGCGGCCCCTGCACCAGCGTGAACGGCCACCCGCCCTTGCTGCTGTCGCCCTTGCTGCTGTCGCCCTTGCCGCCCCCCACGCCGCCCGACCCTGACCGGCCGGAGGCGGCAGTGCCGGCTGCACTAGCAGACGCAGCAGGCGTGTGCGCGGCGGTGTGGGCGGCGGCCCAGTGGATGGCCTGCAGCTGCGGCGCGTTGAAGGAGGCCTGCAGGTGAGCGCAGAAGGCGGGTGGGAAGACGGCGGAGAGGTCCGGCGGCATCTCGTTGACATAGTCGGGGAAGAGGTGCGGGCCCGGACGCAGCACTGCCTCCAGCATCTGATAATGGATGGGGGGGAGAGAGAGAGGGGTTTGGAAGGAGGGAGAAATGGAGGGAGGGAGAGAGGAAAGCAAGGAGTGGAGGTGCGACAAAGGAAGAACTGTGGAGGAGAGGAAGGCAAATGCGCAAACACAAAAGAGGACGTGGACGATTGTTCACGCAGAAAAGGCTGCGAGCCAAGATGACACACCATCGCCACTACAGGAGGTGTACACATGCATGCCGCTGCACACGCATATACCACCTGGGGCTGCAGGTGCGCCATTGAACCCACCTCACCTCACCTCACCTCACCTCACCTCACCTCACTGCACCTCACCTGCGGCTGCAGGTGCGCCACGGAGTGCAGGGAGGAGAACTCCCTCTGCGCTGTCGTCAGCGATGTCACTGGCGTGAAAGTGCACGGAAGGTTCCTGCTCTTGACCTCCTTCAGGAGAGACACAGGCTCGCTGGCAGGGGGGGGCGCAAGGGGAGTGGGGAGAGGCATGCATGGCGCAAGGGGTGTGGGGAGAGGCATGCATGGCGCAAGGGGTGTGGGGAGAGGCATGCATGGCGCAAGGGAAGGTGAAAAGGTATGATGGCAGCAGGACAGCACACGCGGGGGCCAAGGCTACATACTCAGGCGGCAGGGCTACATACTCGGGCGGCAGGGCTACATACTCAGGCGGCAGGGCTACATACTCGGGCGGCAGGGCTACATACTCAGGCGGCAGGGCTACATACTCAGGCGGCAGGGCTACATACTCAGGCGGCAGGGCTACATACTCGGGCGGCAGGGCTACATACTCGGGCGGCAGGGCTACATACTCGGGCGGCAGGGCTACATACTCGGGCGGCAGGGCTACATACTCGGGCGGCAGGGCTACATACTCGGGCGGCAGGGCTACATACTCGGGCGGCAGGGCTACATACTCGGGCGGCAGGGCTACATACTCGGGCGGCAGGGCTACATACTCGGGCGGCAGGGCTACATACTCGGGCGGCAGGGCTACATACTCGGGCGGCAGGGCTACATACTCGGGCGGCAGGGCTACATACTCGGGCGGCAGGGCTACATACTCGGGCGGCAGGGCTACATACTCGGGCGGCAGGGCTACATACTCGGGCGGCAGGGCTACATACTCGGGCGGCAGGGCTACATACTCGGGCGGCAGGGCTACATACTCGGGCGGCAGGGCTACATACTCGGGCGGCAGGGCTACATACTCGGGCGGCAGGGCTACATACTCGGGCGGCAGGGCTACATACTCGGGCGGCAGGGCTACATACTCGGGCGGCAGGGCTACATACTCGGGCGGCAGGGCTACATACTCGGGCGGCAGGGCTACATACTCGGGCGGCAGGGCTACATACTCGGGCGGCAGGGCGGACTCGTGGAAGGTGAAAATGATGGTGGCCCGGGCGGCACCGCGGTCGTCCTGCATGGGCTCGTAGCAGCGCCGCCCCATGCCAGCTATGCGCAGCTGCTGGGGTGGGTGTGCTTGGTCTGCACAGAGGCGCGAACAGCAGGCAGAGTGGAGAGGATGAAGGCTTGTGAGGAGCGCAGAGAGGAAGGGAAGGGAGTCACGTCAAGAAGAACAACGAGAGGGCGCTCACTTCAGTTGCTCATCTCCATGAACATGGGCATGGGCATGGGCATGGGCATGGGCATGGGCATGGGCATGAGCATGGGGATGGGCATGGGAATATGGGCATGGGAGCGTGGGCATGGGAGTATGGCCATGGGAGTATGGGCATGGGAGTATGGGCATGGGAGTATGGGCAAAGGAGTATGGGCATGGGAGTATGGGCATGGGAGTATGGGCATGGGAGTATGGGCATGGGAGTATGGGCATGGGAGTATGGCAATGGGCGTGTGGGCATGGGAGTATGGGATGGGAGTATGGGATGGGAGTATGGGATGGGAGTATGGGATGGGAGTATGGCCATGGGCGTGGGGGCATGGGAGTATGGCCATGGGCGTGTGGGCATGGGCATGAGCCATCATACTCCCACCTTCATCGCTCGCCGCTGGCCGTGCAGTGGACAGCACAGCCACATCGCCGTCCTTCCACTCGCCCTCCTTCCACCCCGCCCTCCGCCCCCCCTGCTGCTGCTGCTCTGCGAGTGGCTGTAGCAGCATCTCGTGCCAACCTGCGGGTGGGGTGGGGGAGAGGGAGGGGGGGGGGGGGGGGGGGGGGGGGGGGAGGGGGTGGCGCCACAACGTGTGCTTTGAGCAACTAAGGTGGGAGGGAAGGTAGTTCACGTGGTGGGAAGTGTTGAGGGCAGCAAAGCGCACTGAGAAGCGAAAGGAAAGAGGCAAGAGCAGAGGGAGAGGGTGGAGAGGTACGGGTGGTGCGTGCGTGCAAGGCGAGACGAGTGGAGCAGCAGGTGTGGGGGATGTGGGGCGTCAGTCACCTCGCTGGGTGGCCTCACCTCGCTGGGTGGCCTCACCTCGGTGGGTGGCCTCCAGCGACGCCACGCGCACTGCCACGCCCGCGCTGCTCCCCCCTGCGCTTCCGCCGCCCCCCTCGCCGCCCTCCACCTCCTCCCAGCTGCTGGCCACCTGGGCACGCGCCTCCTCAAACAGCAGCGGCTCAAACGCCCCCACATACTCCTCCACCGATCCAAACCGCTCTGGTAGTTTTGGTGGAGGCGTGGCGGGCTGTGCTGCGTCGGCGTCCGCCGCCCCTGCTGCTGCTGACGTGGCGCCAGCTGTCCCTCCTGCGCCCCACAGCCTGTAGCTCGTCGCCTCGCGCTGCAGCCGCTCCAGCGACGCGTCGCCCGCCCACCCCCTTGCTGCCGCGCTGGCCCCTCCCATCCCGGAACCGCCCCGCGCGCCCGCTAACCCCGCTCTCCGCGCGTCCTCTCTCGCCCCCTTCCTGCCGCCTACCCCTCTTCCGCTCCCCCTTCCCCCCACGCCCGCCGCCGGCCCGCTCCTAGCGCGCGTCTCCGCGTTCAGCGCCGCCTGCCGCGGCCATTCCCCGCGCTCCAGCTCACGTGCTTCGCCCGTGGGGCCTGCCCCATCCGCGGAGGCCTCCACTGCTGGCGGCGAGCTCAGAGTCGCATTCCGCTCGCCGCCACCCGCACGGCCGAGAGAGCGGCCCGCGGGAGCCCCTCCGCGGCCGATTCCCCCACTGCCAGCTTCCCCCGTGCGGCTGGCCTGGCGGAGCGACTCGCCCACCTCCAGCAGCACCGTCTTCCGCGAGGGCTCCGCGCGATAGCGCTTGCCCGCCGACATGGCGGGCGGGAGGCTGGCTGGCTCGGAGGTGAGCAAGGCGGGGTAGTAGATCCGCGCTTGCGGCAAAGTGTGATGAGAGCGTGAATTCCTTAGAGTCCCAAGTCAGCACGGAATGGTGCTGAGCTTTGAATGGTGCTGGCGAAAGCCTGAAAATAAGAAAATATGGGCGGGGCGAAAACGAAATAAGGTCGCGAAGAAATACTATACTTGCGACGCAACCTTGCGACAGCTTTTCCCGAGATTTCGGGCGGGGTGCGATTCTGGCACACACTTGCGTTCTCGATAACAAGGCCCTGCTGCAGCGACGAGAACAGAACATGAACACTATTAGTACAAAATTCGGAAATTGCTACTAGAACAATGGGTGGATTTGAGACTTCCCATCAATCAACACTGGTTATAACCAGGGCCTGTGCTAGGATTTAGGGCACCCTGAGCCCTCAGGGTAACTTTTGAAAAATTTCTGAAATGCCCTGATTTTCCAGGGCAAAATTCCCTGGCCATCCTGAAATTTCAGGGCACCAGCAAAAATTCATCCGGATGATTCAGGGCAAAAATTACAAGGCACTGGAGAGGATGGAGGGGAAGGCACGAAAGGAGCAGGTTGCTCACTGGTTTCACTGCTGGCTGAGCAAAAACATTGGTGGGGGAGGGGTGGGGACAGAACTACTAGCACACACACCCCCAGCCTCCTTCCTCCCCTCTCTCCCTCTCCCCTTCCACCCCTTCTCCCCTTCCCACGAGTCAGGGCATCCCTCTACATTCACCCTAACGCTTCAGGGCAAAATTTCACTGCCATTCTGAAATTTCAGGGCAAAACACATGGATCATCCTGAGGTCGCATGGTAAATTTCAGCGTCATTCTGAAATTCCAGGGCAAACTTAAAACACCATCCTGAAATCAGGGTAATCAGGATGTTTTGCCCTGATATCGTGGGCCCTGGTTATGACATGCCAAGAAAATCACAAAGAATATTGAGATGGTAAAAACGAGGGAAAGAAAAAAGAAAGTACGTATCATTATCAAAACATATAGTGAAGTCAGCATTGTCAAATTCATATTCAGCAGCTTCAAGACGTGGAAGGGCAGGAAGGAAAGAGTGGGAGGGTGGATGGAAGACGACACAGAGGCAGATAGGTGGGTGGGTGGGCATATATATGTATATGTTAGTGTTATTGGTAGGCTGTAGTGGGGTAGATACTGTGGGGTATAACCCCTTAGGGTTTTCCTCTTGTACCAACTCTCTCGATACTCAATTTCATCCCTTCCTAGTTTCTAACATGGCATCTAGAGCAGTAGGTCCTTAGACCTAAGATTCGGGCCCACCTACTAAGGAGTTACCTCACCTACAGCCTTGCCTGCCTGCCTGCCTTACCTGCTGCCCTCGCGCGCCTCGGCTGCATGCTCGCGTGCAATCTTTTTTTAGCGCGCCCCGCTGCCTCAGCCGCCCGCGCGCTTGCTGCTGTCGCGCACAGCCCGCCGCCACGCGCAGCCCGCCGCTGCACGCAGCCCGTCGCCACACGCAGCCCGCAGCCGCGCGCAGCTCGTTGCCGCACGCAGCCCGCAGCCGCGCGCAGCCCGTCGTCGCGCGCAGCCAGCCGCCACGCGCAGCCAGCAGCCGCGCGCAGCCCGTTGCCGCGCGCAGCCCGCAGCCGCGCGTGCCCTGCCCTGCCTGTACGCCACCGCCTCGCCCTGCGCACTTCGCCGCCCGTGAGCCGTGCGCCTGCCTGCCTTGAGCGCCTGCCTGCCTTGAGCGCCTGCCTGCCTTGTGTCTGTCTGCCTGAAGTGCGCCTTGCCTGAAGTGCGCCTGCCTGCCTTGCTCCTGCCTGCCTGGAGTGCGCCTGCCTATCTTGTGCGCCTGTCTGCCGCCTGAGTCTGCTGCCTTTGACTACTGCCGGTTCCTACTGCCTTGGCTTGCTGCTGCTGCCTACTCTACAAGCATGGCGACGCTTAACGTTCTCGCGTTTGAGCTTGACGGTAGCCCGATCGAGTTCGCCACCTGGCTCGACGACCTCATACTGTTCCTTATAACTGATGCCAAAGACAACGTTTCACTGTTCGATCACACGTCTGGCACTGTCGTTCGCCCTGCTGACAATGCTCCTACTTCCGACCGCTCACAGTGGCAGACTCGCGATGCTGCTGCGCGCCTCGCTATTCGCAACCACCTGCCGATCACTGAGCGCGCGCATTTTAGCCAGCACAAGACTGCGAAGGCACTGTACGACGCTGTAGTTGCGCGCTACTCCTCCCCAACCACTGCAGCGTTAGGCCATCTCATGCTACCCTACATGTTTCCCGACCTGTCCTCGCTCGTCACCGCTGAGGACCTCATCGCTCACCTGCGCGCTAGTGACACTCGTTTTCGTTCCGACCTTACCGACGAGTTCCTTGCCAAGAACACCCCTTTGATGTACTTTACGCTCTACTTCCTCGTCACCCGCCTCCCTGACTCCCTTCGCTCGGTCAGGGACCACTTTCTCGCTCTTGACCCTATCGCACTCACCGTCGACGACTTCGAGACGCAGCTCCTCGCAGCGGAGAAGAACATCCTTGCTGTGGGTGCGGCTCGTGGCACTCCTCGCACTCCCCTCTTTGAGGGGTGCTCCCCCTGCCCCCTTGCCCCCTCCTACGACTCAGCTGCTGCTGCTGTTGACTTCCTTGGTGCTGAGGAGGTTGGGGCTGCTTCCGCTCCTAGTGGGAAGCGCCGCAGCACCAGGGGCAGAGGGGCTGGCAGGGGAGGTGGAGGTGGCGGTGGAGGGGGCGGTGGTGGAGGCGGCGGGGGAGGTGGAGGAGGTGGGGGTGGTCGGGGTGGTGGCGGTGGTGGTGGAGGTGGCGGTGGTACGAGGAGCAGTGGTGGTGGCAGCGGCGGCAGTGGGGAAGGAGACAGTGGTGGTGGCAGCAGTGGTGGCCAGGGCCAGCAGCAGCAGCAGCAGCAGCAGCAGCAGCAGCAGCCGCAGCAGCAGCAGCAGTAGCAGGAGCAGCGACAGCGCCAGACCCCTTCGTCTCAGCAGCTTCATGACTGGTATGCCGGGCGTGGGGCATCTGGGGGTGCTGGTCGCTGCCCTTACATCATTCGCGCTGGTCCCCGTGCTGGTCGCCCATGCGATGGTTTTCACACCGAGACTCGCTGCTTTGCTCGGCTTAGCGACGCCAGGCGCGTCAAGTTCCCTGAGGCTATTGAGTTCCCCAACTGAGGAGACCTGCTTAGGCGTGGTGTACATATCATTGATCTGGACTATGATGTTATTCTTGCTGCTATGTATGCATTGACTGTTAGTGCTGAGGGTGACTGCTTGTGAGAGTACGACGGCTTATGCTTGTTATTCATGCTTGCTATTATTTCCTTACGCCATTTCTAGCTTAGGTCTATTTTCCGCATGCATGAATTGCTTGCTCTAGTTATTATAGTTATAGGCACCGAACCAGGTTACGTGTACCGAACTCAAGCTATTCGGTTGCCACCGAATTGCTTTCTACCGAGTTCGGGAAGGTTCTGTTCGGGACGCTTCGCGACCCTCGGAACATTCGCGTAACACCTGGGTTACCTGCCTTGTGTCGAGCCTATATATAGCCTCGTGTTGTACCCAGGTGATCATTCAATTCACATTCTCTTTTCTGAGCTCGATCCTAAGATCCTCACACTTGGTAATCAGAGCCCGTTTACACGCGAAGTTTTTTCGACCGCTAAAAACCAGTCTTCAAAAAACCGCGGGGGCGACGCAGTTAAACATCGATTTCGGGTACGCAAAACCTTTTCCGTGTTTTTCGCTCCCCCTCGATTCGGTTTTTCGGATGCGTTGATGTCAGGCATGGAAGGCCAGGGCGACAACTACGCGACTACGAGCGACATCGCGAGCCTCCGCACCGACATGGAGCAGACGCAGGCGACGCTTCGTCGACTCGAGGCTTTTCTGACAAGCCAACCATGATTCTCCACCGCAGCAGCAGCGATAGCAGCGAACGCAGCACTGACAACTCCAACAGTAGTGGCGACACCGACATTTCACGGACCGATGGCACCACTGTCGCCGAACCTCGAAGCAGCACGACCGAGGCTCCCGGAGGCGTTCGATCCAAGCGCGAAGGGATCCGACGTCCGGCGATTCGTGGCCACCCTCGAAATTTACTTCGAGGCCATTGGCTGTTCGACCCCGACAAATGACGCAGCAAGGATTCGGCTCGCAGCGACACTGTTACGTGGACCGGCACTCGAGTGGATTTATTACACTGACGTGGCCCGCGGGGAGAAATCGTGGGCGCAGTTTCTGTCAAACATTATATATGTTGGGTTTGTTAGACTACAGTGGGTTAGCCTATATGGGGTACACTATTCTAGGGTTTGCTATTTGTACTGATCTCTCTGTTAGTTCAATCATTCCAGTCTCGTAATCTTGACATGGTTTCAGAGCAGGTCCTTCCCTAGGACCGTTCTTAAGGGCCCACCTACCTACCTACCTACATACCTATCAAGCGCCCCTAGTGCGCCTCCTATTGCGCCCCTAGTGCGCCTCCTATTGCGCCCCTAGTGCGCCTCCTATTGCGCCCCTAGTGCGCCATCTTTTTTTTACCGCGCGCGATCTGCTAGCCGCCCGCGCGCGGCCTATTTCGTGCGCGCGACCAGCCAGCAGCCCGCGCGCGGCCATTTTTCGCGCGCGGTTAGCTAGCCGCCAGCGCGCGCGGTTCTTTTTCTTCGCGCGCGGCCCGTCGCGCTGCCCGCGCGCCTTGTGTGCTGCGCTCGACCCCCCGCGCCTTCGTCGCCGCGGTCGGGCCTGCAGCAACAGCCGCGGCAGAGACTGCAGTCGCGGCCGTCGCAACTGCTGCAGCAGCCGCCGCCGCCTCTCCTGCCGCGGCCGCCGCTGCATCTACAGCAGCTGCAGCCGCCGCATCTACTGCAGCAGCCGCCGCTGCAGCTACAGCAGCAGCAGCCGCCGCATCTTCTGCAGCAGCCGCCGCTGCATCTACAGCAGCAGCAGCCGCCGCATCTTCTGCAGCAGCC